CCGATCTACATGCATACATATATATAGATCTACATGTATGTATGCATGTATATATATTGATATATATGTAAAATTATATATGTATGCACACACGTGCCACAAGCCGTCGCCTGTTGGTTGGCGGGGTTTACTATAAGTCCCCTCAAGTCACCGGTTCGATCCCCAGTGGTGCTGGGTTCTCAAATATTTAGGCACATGACGCAGACTCTCATCATGGTGCCTAGCGCATAAGAAATCGGTATTTGGGCATCTACAAAAAAACAATTTGTTTTTTTGATATATATATATATATATATTTGTGTGTGCACGCGACATCGTGCCGCAAGCCGTGGTCTGTTGGTTGGCAGGGTTCACTGTAAGTCCCCTCAGGTCACGGGTTCGATCTCCAGTGGCGCTAGGTTCTCGAATATTTAAGCACATGGCACGGGCTCTCATTATGGGTCTAGCACATGGAAAATCGATATTTGGGCCTCTGCCAAATACTGATTTTCTTTTTAAATAAAAAAATTGTATGCATGCACATTCACGCGCGCACACAAACAGGTATAAGTCACTTTCCCTTAATAGTTGACTCTTCCATTTTTCTAGGAGCTTTGCTACTATTTTGCATTAAAGCCCATCCAATCACCACATTAGTCATCTATCCTGTGAGGCATCCTATCATTTGATTTAGAGCCTGCTTCACATTAATTGCATCATCACGTCCATTCACCAAGGATCTTTACCTTGTTCGTGCCTTCGTGGCTTCCTTCCAATCCAAGTCCTACCAAATTACTAAAATTTGTGTTTGCCAAAATACTCTTACCAAAGAGACCCAACCTGCAACAACTCGTGATCACTCACTCATGTTGCTCCCATATTTCCTTCTAATACAAGCACAAGCTAGTTTATGCTCACCTGCTGGCTGCGTGTTCTCCATAAAAAACCTAAACTTCCCTTCTTTTCCATATTTGCACATATATAAGCAAAAAAAAAAGTAGCAATTTAAAATCAATTGTGGAGAAATATTCGAGAACCTAGCGCCACTGGAGATCGAACAAGGTAAAGATCGAATATTTACCTGTAAGTCCCCTCAGGTCACGGGTTCGATCTCCAGTGGCGCTAGGTTCTCGAATATTTAAGCACATGGCACGGGCTCTCATTATGGGTCTAGCACATGGAAAATCGATATTTGGGCCTCTGCCAAATACTGATTTTCTTTTTAAATAAAAAAATTGTATGCATGCACATTCACGCGCGCACACAAACAGGTATAAGTCACTTTCCCTTAATAGTTGACTCTTCCATTTTTCTAGGAGCTTTGCTACTATTTTGCATTAAAGCCCATCCAATCACCACATTAGTCATCTATCCTGTGAGGCATCCTATCATTTGATTTAGAGCCTGCTTCACATTAATTGCATCATCACGTCCATTCACCAAGGATCTTTACCTTGTTCGTGCCTTCGTGGCTTCCTTCCAATCCAAGTCCTACCAAATTACTAAAATTTGTGTTTGCCAAAATACTCTTACCAAAGAGACCCAACCTGCAACAACTCGTGATCACTCACTCATGTTGCTCCCATATTTCCTTCTAATACAAGCACAAGCTAGTTTATGCTCACCTGCTGGCTGCGTGTTCTCCATAAAAAACCTAAACTTCCCTTCTTTTCCATATTTGCACATATATAAGCAAAAAAAAAAGTAGCAATTTTCACATGCATGAGCACCATCTAATATATTACAGAAATATATAAAAGTAAATATGTACGACAAACAATAAGGTTTCACAGTTTGGCAATTATGAATTACAAAATTATTGATATACAGCATCCAAAACAACATTTTAAAACTTTAGTTGCTTTATAGCATTTTCAATAAAATACAAAAAATGCTACACGACAAAAAAGATTGAAGAAATAAATTTTCATGTCGACATAATCAAAATAATTCCTGATGTGATATCCCAAAAGTGATTTGGTTAAAGCTTCTAAGATTTTATGGATTTGAGTTTTGTGAGAAATCCGAATAATTAAAATATCAAACTCTTATGGATAGCAACAAAATCGAAAATTAAAGTAAAATAACAACAGCATATCTTGAGCTAGATAATTTTTCAATTAATTAGAAAAACTAACAAAATCAGCAAATGAATGTGCTTGTCTCATAAATCGATTCTTGTTATTGTCATCATTTTTTTTTTCCTCTCTCTCTCTCATTCACGTGGTTGTATTTAATCTAAAGCATATAAACGTAGTGTTCATCTGTGCTGGACTTCTTTGTGTTTGTCTGTAGTTCATCATAGTTCAAAGAAAAGTTTTTCTTCATTGAATGTCTTTTTACCCCAGAGAATGTTTCAACTAAATAATCGAAAAAATAGCCACCAGATTGAAGCAAAGGCCTCGCTTATGATACCATTGGAGCTAAAAATAGTGCGGCATCAGCAACTCTTGAAGTTATTATAAGATCTGGATCATATCTCTCTAGACATTGAACAATGGGAGCTGCTCCAAGATATGTACTCATGCCCTTCAAAGATTTAAAAAGCAAATTAAACTCGGTTATTCCTAATTAGAAATGGAATATAATGCACTATATGGCTTTTAACTAATTAGCATCTTGAGAATAAAAATATTTATGTAGAAATTAATAGAGATGACACACAATAAAGTAACAATTATATTTTCAAATAACAAAAGCCAAAAATTTTCCAGAAAAAAAAATGACTATCCAAATTGGACAAACAATCATTGATAAGGTCTGACAAGTAATAAGATAAGCTACCAACAGTCATAATCAGTACTCTATATTCCCACTTTCTCTACCACAGATGGTATTCTTCTCTGCTGATATTATCACCGTTGATTCCTAACTGGTACATCAGAACCGTTGCTCTAGTTTCTAGAATTCTGTACTCAGAAAACTGTTTTGTATATATTGCCTCTATAGGACTGATACAAGCTGAAGCTGATTCTTCTTCCAATGTTCTGTTTCTTTCTTTATCTATTTTTCTATCAAACAGGTTCAGTAGCTAACTTGTCTTTGCAGTTTTTGGTCACATCCACATGGTATCAGAGACATTATGCCGTACAGTTTAGCACTGGATGCTTCAGTAACTTCTAGCACTACTCATATTTAACTTCAGTGATTCCCCTATCAAAATCGTGAGATTTATATTCCTCCGCAGTTAAAATTTCTAGGGACTATTGTCAAATCTGTGATCAGAACAGAGCTTACAACTATAAGTATACTTTATAGAAATCATAAATTATGAAGCTGTTCACAGCGCATAAGTTTGATGGGTATTTAGAAGGAACAACATCCAAACCTGCCAAGCAAATTATATCAGAATTTGATCATATTGTACCCAACCCAAGATACAGTATATAGAAGTTGATAGATCAAAATTTGTTAGCTGTTTTGTATTCCACAATATCTCCAACACTTCTACCATATGTGTAAAATCTGGACTCATGTGCTGAAATTTGGCAAACAATAAAAAAAAGGCTTCAATTTACAAAAGGAAAATATATTCTAAATTGAAATACAAATTACATCATATCACCATGAAAGATAAAACAATGATACAATATTTAACAGAAATCAATAGCAAATGCTATGCAATTTCTCCTTCAGAGCTCCCTGCAAAAGATATTATAATGTACAGTCTTACTGGATTACTAGAAACGCAAGCATTCAAAACTGTAAAAAGAACAGAACTTCAACCTGCCTGAGATGATTTCTATGCTCTCTTATGTAGTGAAGAAAAGAATCTAGCAGCAAAAACAGCTCGAGAAACTGTTGATATGGCCACGCCAGACCACCAATCAGCTCTCACAGCAACACAAGGGATGAGGACGTGGCAAATCTACTAATTGATATCCCATGAGAGGATGTTCAAAAAGTTCAAATTTTAAAACCACTTGTGGCAACAACAAGACATTTTGAGAAGGACGTAGCTCTCAGCCATATATTTAGCACAAATGTGTGGCAAATCAAGGCAAATGGCATTCCAATGTTGTCATCGTATAGATCATTCCTATCAGCGCAATTATCAGGCTCTCCAGGATAGCAATACTGACAAGGGAGTGCGTCACCAAATTCACAGGATTGCGGATCCCGCAATCTCGATCACGGAAGTTCCGTGATATCTTGACGTGAATGCTGGTTCAATTTTTTTTTGTAATTACAGGGATTGTAGCCCTCACGATTGCAGAAGTAAAAGGACATGAAAAATTTTTTTAATTATGTCCTATTTGCAGCAAATTTCCATCTATTTTTCTTCCTTTTCTGGTTCTTTCATATATCTCTCCTTTCTAAGTAGGTTGTTTGCTGTTAGGGAACTATTTATATATATATATATATATATATATATATATATATAATTATTATATTTATTTTTATGTGTTTTATGTTATATATTATTTTTTATTTTTTTTATTGCGGAGACATTGGCTATTGTTAATGTGTTCGTGAGATGTAGTTCTCTTTTAAATGTTTTTTAGATTGTTGTATCATCTACTTTTGTAAATGATTTATTTGTAACTTGCTCTGGAACAGTGATGGAAGATCTTTGATGCCTGAATGTAACCGATACGAAGTTTTCTCTGCTGTTTTCAGTTGAGACAGCTGTCGATCGAAGTCGATCCCTGTCCAAATGCCATTAGACACACATATTATCATTCATTTCTTATTCCACAACTATTTCCCCACAAACCGCTTCAAAAACACCTTCTAGGAGCCCTAGAATGGAATCATATGGTATTAGAGTCCGGCAAGCCCTAAATTTTTAAGGTTTTCTCTCTGATCACAATCCAAAATTTCAAAAAAAAAAAATCCCACCATACCTAATAAATCATTCCAACAACAATTACAAGCCCCAACCATAAATTTTCAAAATTCAACACTCTTACATCCACCAATAATCCACCCCAACACCTATTACTAAAACCCAAGTCCGGATCCTCCTTAATTTACAATCCTACATTCCCCGAAAATCTTGTCCGATTGAAAATTACATAATTCCGCCTAGAAGAAATTTACAAAGAGGTGTCCATGAGCTCACTATAAAAAACATGCAACGAAAAATCTTTCAACTGCAACAAAAGGTTGTCGTTTTTGAGAGAAGACAACTCAGAGAGATTACACGTAGCCATAATAGTAACTTTGAGAAGAGGAAGTGAACCCATTCCACTAAGCAATTTTCAGTGATGATGAACCAATACCCTGACGATATTGCATGAAATATTAGAGGATAAACTAGAAGTTTGGAGTGAAAATTTGCTTGCCGAATTTTGACAGTCACATGAATCCGAACGAGTTCATTGAGTGGTTCCAAATAGCAAAAAGAATATTTGAGTACAAGGATGTTCCATTGGGCATAAAGGTAAAGCTAACCGCATTAAATTAAGAGTGCATCTCTGTAGTGGGAGAACATGAAGCGTATTCAACAACGAAAAGGGAAAAACAAAAATAACTATCTGGGCTAAAGATAAAACGAGAGATGCAGTGCAAGTAATGAAATATTAGAGGAGCTAAGTTCGAGCAACTTATGTTGAAATGTGAACTAATGAAATTCGAGAAGAATATTATAGCTCGATATCTGGGATCATGAGGTTGTCTGTCGGCAACGTGATATAGTTACATCCATATTAGACAATACAAGATGTCCATACCCTAGCCCTGAGGTGGAGGGACAACATAGTAGTATCATGTCCACAACACCCTTCAAGCAAGTTTAAACCATCAGTTTACACAACAAGAATACACCTAGTGGAGCACCCAAACCAACCCCATCAGAGTAAAGCAGAAGTAGAGCCCACCAGCACTCCAAATTCATCACAACAAGGAAATGCTTCAAATGCCACAGCTTTGGGAACATTGCATCAAATTACCCAAACATGATGATGATCTCATTCACGGGCCAAAAAGCTGAGTAGTGGAAAAAATAAGACAATGAAATCAGAGAAACCGAAGAAGATGAGAACGCAAAAGAGTACCAGTTTCTAGCAAACGAGGGAGTTGTTAGTAATCCAACAAGTCCTTCAGACTGCACGGTTGGAAGCCCCACTAAGATTTACATTGGTTTTCATAGATGACAGTGAGTCCAAGAAGCAAATACCAGACACATGTCTGCCTCAGCTAAGTGGATTTTAAGATTTTCTAACATACAACCTACCTCCCAAGTTGCCACTATTTAGGAAGGTCCAACATGTCATCACTTCAAATAGGTTATTGAGCAATTTTCAAAAGGATCTATAGAGTAAGCGGAGTGCTAAGCCCCAATTTAGTTCAACAGTGCACTCACGACTAGAAGACAAGATAAGAGGAACCCAATTTTGAAAACCTTCATGGGTGTTTTGTGAGAAAGAACATCTGATAAAAGGATCTGAGAAAAAGAAGCCTCTCCTAACTGGGGAGAGTAACACAGAAGTGTCTCTATAAATTCGAGATCGCAAATCCAGTGATCTCAATCAAGGAAGTTCCATGATATCTTGACGTGGATGCAAAATTTTTTGCAGTTCAAAAAACTTCTATGATTCCGCGGCATGAAGCCCTCACGATCGTTAGAGTAATAGGACCAGAGAAGTCCCATTTTTTATTTATTTCCTATTTGTAGAAAACTTCTAATTTTCTTCCTTTTCTGGTTCTTTCATATTTCTCTAGTTTTTAAGTATATTATTTGCTATTAGGGAACTATTTATATATGGTTATTTCTGGTTTTGAAGACTTTGGCAATTGCTATTATGTTAGAGAGGCAATGTTATCTATTTGGTGCTCTTTGGAGTGTTGTATCATTTCCTTTTGCAGTAGCGTGTTTGTATCGCTCAGAAACGACGGTGGAATCTCCTCGCCGCTCGAACATTGCCAATTCAGTGATTTCTTTGTTGTTTTCAGCCGAGATGGCCGTTTATGGACCCTAATCCCTATCTTAACACCGTACAAACTTCATTTCTCAAACACCTTTTAGAAGCCCTAGAACAGTATCAAATACTCAAGCCACCTCAAATTGGATCCTTGACATCGATGTATCTTCTCATTTAACCTATGATGTTTCTCGACTACAAAACACGAAGTAACACATTGGCTTACAACTAGTTTTAATTGGCAATGGTAAAATGCTTCTTATTGAAAATATTGATGAAGGCATCCTACCAATCCCTAATCGTAAGTTTCATCTAAACTCATTACTACATGTGCATATCTATCACATAATCTTCTTAATTTTAATAGATTTGCCTGGGATAACCATTGTTCAATAACCATTGACGCTTTTGGTTTTGTTATGAAGCACCAGATGACTAATTTCATTCTCCTTTGAGGACCATGCCATCAAAGGCTCTTTCCAATCAGCAATTCATGGAAGGCCTCTTCAACACCTTCAGCTTTTCTTGCAACATCCTCCACTTCACAAGTCTGGCATCATCACTTGAGAGATCCCTCAAACTACCTAAATCTTCTTTAAATCCTCTTCCTAGGCAATCTTTTCATAGTGAACCTTGTGCTCTTGCATAGAGCCACAAATTATC